AATTCAGTTGTCAGGCATAGTTATTGAACATTTAATAAAAAAGGGTGAAAGAAAAGGGAATGAGACTGACATGTTTAGCCATATTCTTCAATAAAAATGTAATACTCAGAAATTGAATCAGAATCAAAAAATGATTGTTATTAATTGAAAGAGAAAGAACTAATGAGGAAATGCCAGCTGACAAGGAATGAGAAGTAGTCTAACAGGTGGTAGGTCCATTTGAGTACTTCAATGAAATATCACAAGTTGATTACAAAATTCCAATGGCTGGTCATTTTGTGAATTAAGAAAATACAGACTAAAATACCACAACATTTTGATGGACCAAGTTTACATAAAAGAAGTAGTCAATGTTTGCCAGATATGTTGTACCTGTCAGCAATTGGGAAATCCCCAAAATCAATTAAACAAATGCTTTTAATTCTGGTAGCAGCTTTCAAAGCGCAATTTAGCAGGGTTTTCTTAGCACCCTACCTAAAACTAAGAATGGGAATCAGTATCATTTAACAATTATCAATGTGTTGACAGAAATTCCTGAAGCAATGCCTTTGGAGAAAATTATGATAGTGGAGAAAATAGTTCTTTTTTTAAACAAGTTGTAGGTTAACCAAAGAAATACAATTAGATCAAAGTTCAGATTTTATGTCACAAATATTTAAAGAAATGAACACTTTTTGAGAATAAAACAATTTACATCTTCAATTTATGACTCACAACCTCAAACAGCATTGGAAAGATGTCATCAAACTTTAAAGTGATTGGAGCTTAGTCTTAGGAATATCCTAATAACTGGGATAAAGGAATTCTGTTGTTACTGTTTGCCATAGGGAAGCTCCAAATAAGTAAACAGGATTAAATCCCTTTTGAACATGTGATAAGTGGACCCCTTAAATTAGTCAGAGAAATTTATAAAGACAGAGACTATGTTTCCAACCTATGTATTGATTTGCAGAAAAAAAAACTAACCAATGTTTACCAAAAAGAATTTGGAGAGTGAACAAAAAACAAATAAAATTAGAACAGACAAAAAAAATCAAACCATGAAATTTTATTGATGGAGAAATAGGACTGAATTTTCCCAAAAATTTGCTGTATCAATTTCATGGAGGGCTTCTCTCTGTGAGCTCGACTGTAAACTCTCTGCTGCTCACCTCATAAAGTATGCACCATGCCTCTATGATGCTATTCTCATGCTACCTCGTGCTTCATTAAATGGGAAGGAAATGAAAAACATGAGATTCTAGGGCATATAATTAGCACAGGTAACACTTCATTGTAAATAGGATATCACATTCATAAATATATTGACACTTTAAATCATCACTTGTATGATCAACTGACATTGTAGTTGCAATTACAAGAATGAAGCTGCAGAGGCTACCCATCCTTAGTGCCACTAGTCTTTCTCTAATGTCCAGTGTAGCATAACATCTCATCATTGCTCAATATGGGACTGTCACATATTAGAAAGTTGTCAAATGGATGTTAACATTCACTTTTCCTGTTGATTAATAAAAGTTAAGAAAGACAAACAAAATGCTGCATTTACATCTGGATCTAAACAGCGATTCTTTTCCTTTTGAGCAACAACAAATATGCAGACAATGACTGATAACATCACCCAACTCAGATCTATTAGAAGCGGGTGTCAATTAAGTCCCATCTGGCTTGTTGTGCTAAATGCTGTGCCATTCCACCATGGTGAATGTTCCTCCAGTTGACTGTCCTTATCTTGCCTTTTGGAAGACTTCTGACGCTTTCCCAGCGCAGTATCCATCACATGTGGAGCACAGCATGCAAGGATTATTTGACACATTTTGTGTGGAGCACACAGCAAGGCCCCCAAACCAATCCAAACATTAAATCTCATTGTCAAGAGGCCTAACAGCTGCTCTACAATGACCCTAGTGGAATAACATGTTGCATTATCTATGTTCAGCCTCAATCAAGGGGTTGCTAATGAAGTCATCTTCCATGGTTGTAGAGGGTAGCCCCTGTCTACCAGTAAACATCCTTGTAAAGACACCTGGCCCTTGAAATGAAGCAGGAACATGGGTGTTCTCAAGAATATAGGTATTGTGGCAAACTCCAGAGTATCTGGCTCAGATGTCTAAGATGAGGTACCGATGATCACTGATGAGTTATACAGCTGTCACATTGACAGTTACTGGAATAGGAAGACCACCTTTCCCTTCAGATTATAAGTCCTGCTCCAGCAGATGACATGGTTCCGTGATGGTGCCCCAGGACATTGTCATTTGCTGGCAGCAATAAGCCTTGCTCATCTAGGGGAAATGACACTGAGGACAATAGACACTGGGCCTTCTGTACCGCCTCAGACTCTTGAGGAGCCCTTCAACTGTGACTTTTTCTTGTGGAGGCTATTTGGCAACATTGGAGGTTGCTGCTGGTCCTAGGATAGCTAGTGCATTTGATCCTCCTCCATTTCTCTGCACCTTTGCTGTTCAACAGCCACAAGCAATGATAACACATTTAACATCAATAACAACAAGGAAATCAGAAACTATAAAGTTCCTTATTTAGGTGATCAGCCAGTAGTTGCATTACACATAAATGACAGTTCTCTCAATGTAGTGGGACATGGAGGATTACCAGATACCTGCACATGGACTTTTGACCTAGTAAACCTTATACCAACTTTTGCAGTAGAAATATATAGGATATTGTAAGTCTGATAGGTTCATTCATTTTGGTGATTTTATAATATATTTTTATGTGATTTTTATATGATTTAGATGATTTTTATAATAATGAGCAGCAGAAATAAATTCAAAATAAATATTTAATACCTTCAGCTCAGAATCTGCAGTGGTCAGTCTTCTTTCCATAGGCATTCTTCTTCCAGTTGGAGTTGAACTACGACTCCTATGCCTGTATGAGGCTGTTTGTGATGTACCTTTAATGATGGCATCTGATACCTAGATGTTATTGAATGTGAAAGTTATTACTATAACAAAGTATCATGATAACACATTGCTTATAGCAAGAAACAAATTTACTTTTGCTCATCAAGGATCAATCACAATTCACTATTGCAGGGGCAAAATGACTTTGAATTCTTCTTTGCTGTTTCGTGTTATGGCATGCAATTTGAGCAAACAATTCTTAACAGTGATGTTCCCAATATATGCTGTGTCAAATAGCTTCCCACATGCAGAGCATAGAAAAAATGTGAGGCCTCCTAAGCTTTGAGAGTAACATTCAAATGCCAGGCCTATGAAAGCGTAGAATTGTCGAGCAAAGTTGAATGTGACGTGATGGGAGCAGTCTTCTGCTACTTTGCATCCTACTGGGTAAAGCTGGGTCTCCAGCTTTGCACAGTACATGACCTTCCGAAAGGAGAGCAGGCCGAGGAGGAAGGGTATATTTGTCCAGAATAGCATTTAGATGCTATGTTAAGTAAATAGGAACCATGTTAACACACCACCTCACCCTCCAACTCCCCTCACCATCAACAAAATTCTAGGTAAAATACTACAGACATTGGAAAATAGAAATAAAAATACAAAATGCTCAAAATACTTGGCACAATTTATGAGAATCTATGGAAAATTAGATTTCACATTTCAGGCTGGAAACTCATCATCCTGATCCTGCATCAGAACATTGTTGCGAGCTTGAATGGAAAATCAGTTGAAGTCTAGCAGATCCATGTTCTGATCAATTTATGAGCTGGACATCAAATATGTTAAACAAGGGTAAGGGCAGGCCATTTGATCTGCTTGTATCTTCAACCCCTTATCCTTGCCTAACCCAATAACTTTTCACCCCTTGTTAGTCAAGAATCTATATACTTATACTTTAAAAATATTCAATGCCTCTCCCTCTGCTGCTCAGCGAGGAAGAGAACTTCAAAGACTCATGACCCTCTGAGAGAGAAGTAAAAATCTCTTCATCTCTGTCTTAAATGGGAGACCCTTCATTTTTAAACTGCAAACCCTGCTTTTAGCTTTACTAAACTACTCATGTTAATGTGATTTCTATATCTAAGAATGGAGCCAGGACAAATCCAGGAAACTATAAACAAGTTAAACATCTGTGGTAAGAAAGATAATGAAACAGAAAATGGTCTAGAAACTGAAAATATAATTAAGCATAATCAGTACAGATTGCAAACCAAACTTTTTGAATTCTTTGGAAAAGTAACAAAAACTGTAGATAAAGATACTTAAATAATGTAATAGTATTGATATCCAAAAAAAAGGAAGAAACAGTAGACTCGATTAAAGTTGGACAGCATAGAGTCAGAACACATGTGTCACAATGGATAGAAAGCTGATCACAAAATAGTAAACAGAAAGCAGGGCTGAAGGCAATTGTTCGGAATGGCAAAAAGTGTCCTATTAGAATTCTTGCTGGACCACTGTTATTTGCCACTTATGTTCATAATATGGACTGAGGAAACAGAAGCACCATTTCAAAATTTACAAGCAAACCAAATCAAAGGAGGATTGCAAGAAAATACAGACGATATTTATCAAAATGCAAAAGGATATGTAATTGGCAAATATCTTCCAACATAGATTAAGTGCACAGTCAAAATGTTTAACAGAGGCCTCATCTTTCTGCATAGGTAAACATAGAATATCTTTTAGCACTATTCAAAGTGCAGCATAAGAGTTCTCTGCTGTATCTTGATCAACATTTATTGTTCAAATAATACCTAACACAGATGATCATATATTATATCACTACTTATCATGTTGCTTTTTGTGGTACCTTGCTGCGTCTAAATCAGTTGTTGTGTTTTCAACATTAGAAACCAGCTGCACCTTAGAGGTATTTCATTGTTGCAAAGCATTAGGGATGTTCTGACATTGTGAAAGTTTTACATAAATGCAAAATCTACTTCTTTTCTTAAATGAAATAAATCTATTATGTTGAACAGTTCTTTAATTATTGTTCAGTCTGTAACTTTAAACCACAGCTGTAGCTTTGATCAAAATTCTGCAATTAACAATATTGAGCAATACTAAATTTCATACTGGTGTTTCAGATTTCTTGCTGCTCTCAGTCTTTTTCACAGGCTCCTGACGATGACGGTCTACGGCTTTCAACTCATCACGTAGTTCAATGTTTTCCTTGGTCAATGTGTCAATCTGGTTTCGAAGGCATTTGTGGGCACGACACCACCTCGATTCATTTTTTCTAAAGTCTTCCTGGAGCTGACTAAGCTGTTGCTTCAAAAACTAATAAGATTATAGAGGAAGGGAACAACACTAAATAAATAGTTTCAAAACAGTAAAATACATGTCACACATTCTGAAATTTGGTAGTACATAATTTCAATGTATAACTTAATGTGTTCATATTATGGGTCATCATGAAATGACATTAAAAAAAGGATTACATTTATATAGGCACTTATCATTTCTACACTGATGCAAGGGTGTACAAACAATGCAGTAGTAAAATACAATTGAGAAAGTTTAATTAAAAAAGAAAATATCAATATCCACATCTGCATAGCATACAGTGCACATGGATCTTATAGTGAGTAAAGCAAGCCTGGTAAGAATGAAGTACATTTGTTTAAAAACATCTACTAGAACCAAACAGCTCAGAAAATAAAATACTCTGCTGCATGATTAAAGAAATGTTGTATCTTGAGCATGTAGGTTAAACAAAACATCTGAAAATATGTTTTCAAGTCTGTTACTCTATTGGGGTATTAGGTACAAGTTTTTAATCCCCAAGTAGGGTTACACATGACTGCCGATTGGTCCAGAAAGCTGGACACTAGTTGGCTGAGTAAACTGACATATAGATCAGTTGCAATTTGTTTTTTGCTGCGAGATTTCAACAACTTCATCAACCAATACATTACAATGGTGACCGCAGTCGGTGCTTTTCAGCAATAAGTATATTCCAGTTATATTTGAAAGATCTGGTACCCATTATGTCTCTGATGGTGAAAATTAGACATGGTTGGGTCCTGTCTGATTAGTGATTATCTAGGTAAGTGAAAGGGAACAGTAAAAATTAGTCTTGGGCAATAATTAATTGATGTCTAATTTTTCAATAATGCAAACAAAAACTAAGTGGGTGTGAACCAGGATGCCAATTTACAACACTTTTGCAACACTTCCCAATGATGAAATTTACAACTGATACCTTTTTCTGTTTCTTCTTCATGAGCTCTCTGTTCAAAGGTAAGTACTTGGTAAATCATGGCAAAAGTGTCATGATTTTATACTATGGGCTGGCTGAAGAGGCAGGCCATGACCCTATCTGCTGAAATAGGGCTCTGTAAATTTTGCTAATCTGATCCATATACTAGTTGCTGAACCAACTCAGCTAATCAGCCCTTTTTATTCTCATTAGCGTTGACTGAAGAATTATTTGTATTTCGCCAGGATCCTGACCTACCTCCATCTCTTCATTCTCTTTCTTATCAAAAATAGATCTGGTTGCTGAGAGTTTTTCAGACAATTGCTCTGCTTTTTGTAGTTTCTTCATTTCCTCCTTCTTGTACTCATCTAACCGAGCTATTTCTTCAATCTTCTCATGTTCAAACTGATCCATCCTTTTTCTAGTAAAGAACAAAATGACAGATTCATATACTCCAGCTATATTAATGTTTAAGGGGTTGGTACAGCCCCAGGACAAATCTTTTTCCATTCTTCCTAAGCTGAAGTTGGGTGCAACACAAGTTTTTTTTGGGCAATTTCAGATAATTTTATTGTCTTCTCTATATAATGTCAACAAAGAAATGCATCTTAGAAGAGCTTTATTTCCCAAAAATGGGAAGACACTTGGGCTTTGCCTGCAGTTTGTCTGGCTGCTGTTCAAAATGTCTACAATTTATTGTGTGCAGGAGGCCTTGTCATTGATCCATTGCACCTGTGACATTGATCATATGGCTAACATGGGTTTCATTCTCTCCATTTCAAAAAATTGAACACAAAATGTAGTACTGAGAAGCATTGCGCTGTTGGAACTACTGTCATTTGTTAAACTGAAATCTGTCTGTCTTCTGTGGTGGACATAAAATAACCAATGGCACTATTTTGTAAAATATACTTCTTCACTGCGTCCTGTTCAAACATAATCCTATGTTAACATTACTTAAAATCAAATTGTCCTATCTTGATCAGATAGCTGTTTGTAAAACCTGTCTGAATTAGCTTTAAAGCATTCGAAGATGCCTGGAGGTCGTGAAAAGTGGTTTATAAATTGGTCATCTCAAAACCAACAGAAATAACCAATCACATGAAGTAATTCATAAATTAAGATATCAAAGTTGGTTCAAGAGTATTGAAAAATGACCACAAATATCATGAAGGAATTATGGGGGAGAAATCAAACTTTCTGAAGAGACTACATTACTTACATTATTAAATTTAAATTGTCAGTTGAAATAACTCCAGAGACCAGTATCCCATCACCAAGTCACCCTTTACCTACATGTGGAGAGTCCTTGACACTGATCCAGCTTCCTCAGAGCCAGCTCTCAGAGTGAATAGAATGACACTCCAATTCTTATCTGTCAGCCAGGGCTCATTGACTGGACCAGATTAACAGCCACTATCAGGGAACTCATATTCTATGAGGTCCCCTTGGCTAACCTCGTTACAATCACTACATCACTACTGTTTAAAAATATCTGTTCTGCAAACTTCTGACTATGGCAACATTTTGCTTCAGCAAATTGAAATGGTTCCATTTACCAGCCAAAAATATAGAAATAAATAAACCTGAACACAAGTGAGCATAGCTGATCCACACAGAAATTACAACATCAAGGCAGCAATTCATTTTGCATCAAGTCTGGGAGTAGGGTTAAGATAGGCTCAATTTTCCACGGATTTCTGGATCATAATATCAAGATCAAATGGAGGCCCTAAACTTCCACTTACCAGCTCAGAACTTGCTCAGCAATTTTATTGGAGGCGGCCAATCCTGTTCCACCATTGTTGCCAGATCTGCTGAGTTTCTTTAGGAATTTTTGTTTTTGTTTCAAATTTCCAGCATCTTCAGTTTTTTGTTTTATCTCAAAATAGACGTGCCCTCAAACAGGTCACTTCAAATAAAGATATTGAGTGGTTGAGGGTGATCTACCTCGCTGAACTGTTCTCAAGTGTCAGTCTAGATCCAAGCTATTCAGTGAGACAGAAAACTAAACATCTTCCATTGCAACTCCCTACCCCCATGCTACAGGTGCTCCCTATTTGAATATGGTCAGACAACTAATAGCCATTATATAATGAATCTTAAATAAAGACATTAACAAACTTAATGTGATCAATCAGATACTGAGAGATTCCCCTGTTTTCTTTAAATTAAAACTTTTGATAACAATATTTTCAAAACTAATGAAAGAAATATAATGTTTTCTTTCTTCCCATGTTGCACATTTCTAATATAAACAACACATTCACAGATTCCATATTCCCTCAATTAAAGCAAAACACATAAATAATTGCAAGACAATTAAAGAAAAAAACTGTTATCCACATTTTTATATCACAATATTCCATGTTCTCATCATAACGCAAGATGTCCCTTTTCGAAGACATTTATTAATTTATCAGGATGAACATTTCTCTTCGTAAAATAGTTTGACAGAGGTGGCTACATCAACCCATTTTGTTTTAGAAACATATTTTCTTACCAACATGCCTGTCACAATAGAAAGATCAGAAGCATGGTACAGGGAGAATGAGGCAACCATGGCTGACTAAGGAAGTCAGGGCTAGCATAAAAGCAAAAGAGAAAGCATATAATGTGGCGAAGGGCAGTGGGAAACCAGAGGACTGGGAAGCTTACCAGACCAACAGATGGCAACAAAAAAAGAAATAAGAAGGGAGAAAATTAAATATGAGGGTAAGCTAGCTAGTAATATAAATGAAGACTGTAAGAGTTGCTTTAGATATATAAAGGGCAAAAGAGAGGCAAAAGTGGACATTGGACCACTGGAAAATGACGGTGGAGAGACAGCAGTGCAGAACAAGGAAATGGCTGAGGAACTGAATAATTACTTTGCATCAGTCTTCATGGTAGAAGACACGAGTAATCTCCCAAAAATTCAAGAGAGTCAGGGGGCAGAGCTGAATATGGTGGCCATCACCAAGGAAAAGGTGCTAGTAAAATTGATTGGCTTGCAGGTGGACAAATAAACTGGACCAGATGGACTACACCCCAGAGTTCTAAAGGATATAGCTGAAGAGGTAGTGGAAGCATTAGTGGTGATCTTTCAGGAATCGCTCGAGTCAGGGAGGGTCCCAGAGGACTGGAAAATTGCTAAAGTGACACCCCTGTTTAAAAAGGGAGTAAGGCAAAAGATGGAAAATTACAGGCCGATTAGCCTAACCTCGGTCGTGGGTAAGATTTTGGAGTCCATTGTAAAGGATGAGATTTCTGAATATTTGGAATTGTATGGTAAAGTAGGGCAAACTCAGCATGGTTTCATCAAGGGGAGGTCATGCCTGATAAATCTGCTAGAATTCTTTGAGGAAGTAACGAGCAGGGTAGACCAAGGAAAGCCAATGGATGTCATCTACCTGGACTTCAAGAAGGCCTTTGACAAGGTGCTGCACAGGAGGCTGCTGAGTAAGACAAGGGCCCACGGTGTTAGAGGCAAGGTGCTAGCGTGGATAGAAGATTGGCTGTCTGGCAGAAAGCAGAGAGTGGGGATAAAAGGATCTTTCTCAGGATGGCAGCCGATCACAAGCGGTGTTCCGCAAGGGTCAGTGTTGGGACCACAACTTTTCACATTAATGATCTAGATGAAGGAACTGTGGGCATTCTGGCTAAGTTTGCAGACAATACAAAGATAGGTGGAGGGACAGGTAGTATTGAGGAGGTGGGGAGGCTGCAGAAGGATTTGGACAGGTTAGGAGAGTGGGCAAAGAAGTGGCAGATGGAGTACAACGTGGGAAAGTGTGAGGTCATGCACTTTGGTAAGAAGAATAAAAGCATGGACTATTTTCTAAATGGAGAGAAAATTCAAAAGTCTGAAGTGCAAAGAGACTTGGGAGTTCTAGTCCAGGATTCTCTCAAGGTAAACTTGCAGGTTGAGGCAGTAGTCAGGAAGGCAAATGCAACTTTGGTATTTATTTTGAGGGGACTTGAATATAAAAGCAGGGATGTACTCCTGAGGCTTTATAAGGCTCTGATCAGGCCACATTTGGAGTATTGTGTGCAGTTTTGGGCCTCATATCTCAGGAAGGATGTACTGGCCCTAGAGCGGGTTCAGAGCAGGCTCACGAGAATGGTCCCAGGAATGGAAAGCTTAACATATTAGGAACATTTGAGGACTCTGGGACTATACTCATTAGAGTTTAGAAGGATGAGGGGGCATCTAATTGAAACTTGCAGAATACTGAATGGCCTGGACAGAGTAGATGTTGGGAAGATGCTTCCATTGGTAGGAGAGGCTAGGACCTGAGGGCACAGCCTTAGAGTAAAGGGAAGACCTTTTAGAACGGCGATAAGGAGAAACTTCTTCAGCCAGAGAGTGGTGAATCTATGGAATTCATTGCCACAGAAGGCTGTGGAGGCCAGGTCATTGAGTACATTTAAGACTGAGATAGATAGGTTCTTGATTATCAAGAGGATCAAGGGTTACAGGGAGAGAGTGGGAGAATGGGGTTGAGAGACTTATCAGCCATGATTGAATGGTGGAGCAGAATCGATGGGCCGAATGGCCTAATTTTTGCTCCTATGTCTTATTGTCTTCTGGTCAATTCTCAACCTTTTTCTGTGAAGTTCTTCGTTCAATGAACATTATCTCAAAGAAAATGATTCATCACCTCACGTGCTATGAGCAAACTTTTCTCAAATTGCCCCTTAAATAGGACTGCCTTCAGAAGATTAGATAAATGCACGCCAATGTCTATTTCCTCCAGTGTTTCAGCAGCTAAGGTGTTTTCAAGCACCCTCATTTTCCTTGGCTCTTCAGGTCAATGGATAATGTTTATTCTTTTTTCCTACCAAGAAGATGATAAACTGCTATACAATAATTTGCATCTGGCAGATTGGCACATGAAGCTAAAAATAACTAACTTCATGTCTTCTGGATCCAAAGCTGGAAACTTTACTGCACGTTTCTCTGAATTTAATTTCTTTACACTTTATTTGCTCTCATAACCTGCTAATCATAACATGTTTTAACATGGAACTCAGTTCTAACAGTTCACAAGTGGCATCATGTCTAATCTGATTGCACAGCCAGTTCAAATGACCAATCAAACTTCTTAGCTGGTCTGTTTCTAACTTGGATACAAGGAATTATTTCTGTGTGGACATGGACCTACTTATTGAGATGAGATTGACCTCTTCTAAGTAAGATCATTCATCAAAAGTCACTCCTGACTTGTTCTGTTAATATCTGATCCTATGTATTTAGAGGCCTCTAAAGTTTGACAACTAATCTTAAATTCCTTTTTTATTTTATCTCTCACACATTGCTCAAATTCTGCAAATATCCTCACAGAAAACATCAACATGCACTATAACAACGCTTGCCAACTACTTTTTGATATCAGAACAACATTGTTGTGTCTGTTTTAAGCTGAATGTAACCTACTT